GTAATTTTTACCTGCTATATCTCGTGTGGGAACTTACATTCCCCCACATAAATCGCATTTAAATTTATTAAAATTATATCTTTATTTACTAACATGATTTTTTGTCTACCTAATAAATATTATTTCTCATTAAGCCAAACTGTYAGAGATTCTAAGCTGTTTTAATAATTAATATATATCTAATTATTTACAAATTACGGATTTCTTGATAAATTATTTTTTCCGAACAATTAGAGTACTCTATCTATCTTAGGTATTTAAAAATGTTCGTGATTTTATATACCAAACTAGTAACAACCAAGCATTTTACTAATAAAATGGCAAATAAATTGTTCCCATAAATGTTGAATAATACTATTTACGAATATAATAGAATTTCAAATGTTACTGAAAATTGTAAAATTTATTTCCACTGAAAATTTAATTGACCTATGTTATAATATATTTTATTGTTATATATTTTACTGGCAATAACCACCAGCTATTAAAACTTAACAGTCATAATTATGTTGCATTAATATTTTCTAACAAATTTTCGTTATAATGAAAATATTGTATTAAATGAGTATAATAATTATGTAAATATTTTACTACCTAATATAATACATTCTGCTAGGTATACTTCACGTTCRCATAATAATTTTAAATTCGAACAAATAGGTTAATATATAGCCATATAGGTATAAATAATATTAGATGAAGAGGATGATAAATAGAAATCTTAGTATTACAGTACTTCTCTATATTAATAATTTACGAATCATAAAATCAAAATATGTTCTTAACTCATTATTTTACGGTCTGTTCAATTTCCATTATAGTAAACATGAGTTTCACTGTGTTAGTAGTCCGTAATTTACATTATATTTGTTTTTAATTGTTCGTATTTACTTTGTATCGTCTTATCTTATAGTTATAATCGGACCGAAATTAAACTAAAAATTAAAATAACGTTTATTTTATTTTTCTATTGATGTATATATTAATTTTCCTAAAATAATAAAATATTTGTTTGGTGGAGTAAACTACTAGTTACAATAACTTTAGAAGTCATAACTGTTGTACTCGGTTATTATTTTACTTTTATAGTACCTACACTACCTATGATCATACTAACATAGTAAGTTTTTTCCTATTCCATTCCCAAACATAATTTCTCTAGATATTTTATTTTGTTTTTTATTATAATATTATTAGAATTAATGCTGTATATAAATATTTTAATTAAATAGTTATCTTAATATTYTTAACAAACATAATTATAAAGAATATATCATGGTATATGACTATTTAGTACGAAGTTAGTAAGTGTGTGATATATTATATGTATTTAATTACATAATTTAAATACAGAATTCATAAACTAATACCTAAATAAATTGTAATTTTTAATAGTTCAAAACTCTTGCAATAATCGTTCTTCCGCGATTCTACACTAAAATAGGTGCGTGTTTTAACAGATATATTAATTCTAGTTACGTAAACAATCGGAAAAGTTCAAAATAATCTTATAATTCTTATATAATATATTAAWTTTGTATTTTATAACTATAATTACAACGCTGCATGTTATTAATTAAATTATAAATATTAGAAGTTATATGTTATTGAGACATATCATTTATTACTTTATTAGGGATATTATGTATATGGATAACCAATTGATCCACCTGAAAAGATAATATTATATCCTATAGATGCTAATTTCGTAAATATAAAGAAATTATTATTTTTATTTTTTGTGTGCAAGTAATTACAAATATAAATAAATAATATGTACAACCTTATCAAATCATTATTATTAAATGTCACATTGAAAACATATATTTTACGTTTTTATCTATTATAATAGCAATGTTTACTCTACACATAGGCACATCAATATTTAAAATAGTGTTTTTAGAAAACATTTACAACAACTTTAGAACTACATATACCTATATGAAAACTAATTTAAACTTCAGTACCAAGTAGTATTTTTAAGTGTAGAATGTAGATAAACATCATGTGTCGAATGCATTTTAGATTTTCCGCTAGAACTCGYGGGTAGCGWATATAAGAACGATACGTCAAGTATAGTTAAAATGTTATTTTTATTTAACAAAAAATAACAAAAAATCATAAAAAAATGTATAGGAAAGATTTTCTATCTAATTATAAAGTTATATTATTTTACAACAAAAATATTTTTTGGACTGGATACATTATTTTTGTTTTAGATCGATTTTTCGTAAATTTTTTGTTCTCATGGTTATTTATTAACAAAAACATATTTTTGATTCATTGATTTCCCTTGCAGAGTAGAAATTGTCGAGTTTCGTGCTATAGTTTTTGTAGTAGTATTTATTGTTTTAGATACTGCCTCCTTCGCTCATTACGTTATTCATATAAAAAATAAAAACACATTTACAATATGTAGTGTCACCAAATTTGCTTATTATTAATACATGTTACAAAATATAAATATAAGCTAAAATGAAAAATGAACTAGATATAAAATATAATTTTAATTATTTTTATATCTTAGGTACGTACTTTATCGTAGAATAGAAGTAATAATTTGATTTATGTAATCAGAATTCTATTACAAACAGTATGTACTGTAGTCCCTTAATAGTATAGGTACTCGAGTAAAGATATTATATCCTTCTCCTTAAGCCTATTCAATATAGACGATAATCCTTAGTTGATTATCTAGAGGTCTTAAGATTTTATCTTACGAGTCAAATTCCTGGCAAACGATCTATAACGGATTTCACATTTTTTTAATTTTAAAAAATGCTATTCATTATTTAACGAGGTAATTTTAATCTAACTATTGAATTGTTAGTTACTTTTAATAAACTATTAAATATATTTTGGTATTATAATACATATAATATGTAGAATGTATTTTAGAGTTCTGAATTATGACAGCTACATTTAACATACCCGATATATCAAATATGCATTTATAATTGAATTGACTCGCYTAATTAAAATTGGGAAACATTTTTTTGTTCGTTTTAGATTACGTTGTTTACCGAGACAGAGATATGCCAGTAGTTCTATCGACTTAACATCTTTTCAGGACTCCACCCACGGGCATGACTTCAATCAAGGTCATAGTCGAGTAGTCATGACCAGAAAAACGGAACGGAGGATATTTGTCGCCCCTTCAAAATTGGGACAGGTGCATTATTAAATATTTTTATTATGAAACTAAATAACTCATCGGTATCAATCGAATTACTAGCCAMCGATTCAGTCGTTAGCTTTTATTTTTTATCTAATGTAACCGGACATTGGTTAATCGAAATTTAAAAACTACCATCAACATTCAATATAGGTATAGTGTGTACATATATTGCGTGAGAAATATTTCTAAATGATAAAAATTAATTATAGCTTAGGTAATCTTATTATTTGTTTAATTTTTAATTGAAATTAAAATTAACAATATTACGTGATGACTGATAAATTTTATATTATGTTGACGATGTTTTTTTTTCATAGAAACCCAAGTTTGAAACCCTAACCAAAGAAACCGTSCAGACGTTTCGAGGTAACAAAACAGAAAGAAAAGTGACTTCTGAAACGAAAAACATAGAAGAAACCATTGATAAAAAATTGGGTGCGTATAAGAAATATAATTGGTATATGAGCACTATGACCAGTATTGAAATGGTTAATGGTATTTACTTATTTCTTGAAAAGTAACATAGTTCTTCCTCGTCAAATATTCACATGGTATCACATATTTATGTGAAATTTCTTCGTTGATGCATTAATCTTACCAACAAATTTGTGTAAGGCATATATGCTATTATCCGTGACATTCGTGGCAATGACATTGCAATTGTTTATCTAATCTTCACGCAACGGCTGATTTCCCAATTCCGTTCCAGAAATAATTCCCACCTACATATATTTAAAGTATTATTACTCTATGATTTAAACCAATTTGTTGAGATGTTTTTTTTTTTTTT